CCCCCCCCCCCCCCCCGTGGGTTCAACTCCCCCCTCGGACGCCTTTGGGACACCTCTCGGGCATCTCTTATGGCATCCACTTTGGCTTAACTCCTCCGGGATACGGTGCAACAGATTCAACAAGCTCACATGTTCATGACATCGATATCGATAGAAGAAACCAAACAAATCATGCAAGCAGCTTTGTTTTGCCTCTGGGACACCTCTTGGGCACCTCTTATGGCATCCACACTGCAGTGGAGGTTTTGGGATACGGTGCAACAGATTCAACAAGCTCACAGGTTCGTGAACACATCGGATGCATCGAACAATGTGGCAAAGTCCAGCCACGCTTCCTTAATTATCGGGGACTTCAATTCTAAGGTTGGCTGTGTCATTGCTGTTTGTGTGTCTTACATGTTCACAACGTTTTACCTCATGAGCATTTGCCTCACTCCGCTTGATGTCCCACAAGTCCGGATGCACCCCTGCTAGCTTTCGTCACCTACCCTCGGCCTCAAGTATAGTTTTTCATGCTCCTTCAAATGCATTTCTTTAAATTTACACTGTGTCTCCTTTTCGTCCTGTCCCATTAGCCTTTCCCCTATTCCCTTTTATCACGCCTTGACATGTCCCTACCTTTTAACGTTCTCCCACCCACGTTCACTGAGGCGTCCCTCCACCAACTACATCCCAGACTTCTTCTACACTCCATGGACTAGCTCCTCCCGCTCCACATCCAGACACCTCTATTGGTCATCGCCGTCATCGCGGACCTCTACATGCTCATCTATGGCGACCTACTGTGGACCGTGCGCGCTTTTCATTTCCCCGTCAACACCACCATGCTTCCATGATCTTTATGCGCGGTTTCCACCTGGCCACTTTTGCACATTTCCCAAGCTACAAAAGGGAACTATATCCCGCTCCTCCACTGACGTTCACTGTTTCAATCTTTTCATACAAAATTTCAATGTCATCATTTCTTTCTAATGCCTCACAGGATGAGTTTTGACTGTGTTTGCGCCGGCAAACGCCCTTGCAGCGGCGCCAGCGCCCAGCTGTCACCAACATCTGGCAGCAGCGCCCTGCATTTGAGGAAAACATCCGGCCAAGTGTATCCAAAGTTCGCCGAAACAAGTGGGAGACAAGTGCAGCAAGAAGGAACGGTTTGAGCCATTGTTTGACAGCTCACAGAGATTACTTCATCGCGCGCAAACTGTTTGGGGTCTACGCTGGTGTACTTGTTGTGAGTCTTTCCATGGCCTTGATGTTCAAGCTTGGTTAACAACAAGGTGGTCGGAATTAACAACCGCTTCCTGGTGCAACCTATGTTTTTCTATTTTTGTGTTGCCCCTTGTGGGACAAACAGCGAAGGTGGCCCCACCTGGACTGCGGTCCCAGTGGTGGGAATAGGAAAATCGTACGACGTGGAATGTGTTGATGTGAATGCTTCAATTTGTGTAAGCATTTTGATAATTTTGGTTCAAAGTTCAAACGCCTGCAGTTGCGACCGCGCAGATGTAGGATCCAAGTTGACAGGAACACTTGTTTTCGCACCTTTGACCACACAGGTGTCCCACAGTGATGGGTCAGGATAACATGTATAATCTGATGTAACATGATATGCATTGTATAGACTTCTTTCCGCGCAGCATATGTCATTGAACCGGAAAAATGGTTGAGTTTGTTGGTCAAAACCACAAGACAGATGTCATGCCCATGGCTGTGGCTGCGTCGCTGTTTGCTTACAAACCAATGGCACCAGTGTATGACAATGGCACTAGAACCTGTTTCTGTGCTCTTGGTGCCCGTCCCTGGTTTCCAAATGCGTCTGAGGGCTTGCAGTTGCAATGTGAACCTTATTTGACCGAGCGCCGTGGAAATGCTTGCGCTAGGAGTGGAAGAAGCTTGTCAGCACCACGGCAATCCGAATCAGGGTGGAACACCCCCATGAATTCTCCCCGCCCTGCTCCTTCGCCGGTCCCCAGCTTGCAGCTGCCGATGGGTCAAGAGGTGCATTGGCAGCGAGGGAGGTGTAGCACATCTCTTTCTCCAACGGCGTCGGCTCGTGTATATTGCGGGCATGGTTTGATTCCTGAGGGGCCAGCCATCCCTCCTCAACGCACATCATCGTTGAATCCATCGCTGAGTCGGTTTCCCTTCAATGCTTTGAGTTCGATGGCGAGGGATGCCAATGCAGGAATTGGGGATCCTGCGCCTGCGAGCATGAAGTTTCTATCTCGGGAACCTCTCATGAAGTCGGCAGGCGAACTTCGAGAGCCAACCCGAGTAAAGGAACATAAAATGGCAGAAAGACAGTTGAGACAAGGAAATCACCCGGTGACGGAGAATCAGGGACATCACGTACTAGACCCATCGTCAGACTACGTCATTTATGCCCAAAAAGTGCCAAAAAAAGATGCTGGGGCAGGTTTCCAGGCAGGAGACATGGGCACGGCAGATGCAAGTCCAAAGAATAGTGTGTGGAAACGGTATTTTGCTCAAGGAGAGGCGATGCTTGAAGAAGTGCTTCCTCACAGTCATGCCCCAGGAAGTGCCTTGGACTCTTTGCCAATCACTGCTCCCAGCTCAGCACGACATGAGCACGCGTTTGAGAATTCCAAGGAGGAGACAGAGAAAGAGAAAACAGCACCGGCGCGGGCCATTCCAGAATCTGAAAGTTCGGAGGGCATCAAGAGACAAGATTTGACAAATGTGCCAGGTGGTCTTCGAACTGCAGTTGAAAGATTTGGCATGCCCTCGCCAGCACATGGCGAAAACTTCTGTGCTGCAAAGACAGCATCGCAAACAGACTCCCAAGAGGGGAGTGAGGTTTTCACGGCCGGATGCCCACCTTCGACCCTAATTCGCACTGAAAGATCATCCAACAGCTCTGGGACCACGGAGTTCAAGCATCAAAGCCAAAGCGAGCTGAAAGAGTTGAACACTTCGATTTCAATCCAGGGCCGCGCGTCTGTTGATGGTGCCTTCGTGCCGGACCCTGACCAAGTCAAGGCCATCGAAGTATCTGCTGCCAACGTGTCTGCAGCTGCACAGAGCATCTCGTTGAAACTTTTGCATGAACTTCGCTCCTTCCGCCAACCTCCTGCCGTCATTCGCCAAGTCGTGGAAGCTGCTTTGAGTTTGTTTGGTGTGAAGGCTGCATGGTCCACAGGACGACGGCATTTGGACTCCCACTTTCTTCAAAAGCTGAAGTCTTTTACACCTCTAGAAGCTGCCAAGTGTCCATCAGCTCAAGTGCACCAGTTTTTTGAAAACTTAGATGCTCCAGCATTCAGTGATCAATCATTGCTGAATAAATGTCGAGGAGCAGCACCACTGGCTCAGTGGTGCTTCGCAGCTGCAGCTTTGCTGCTTCATTTGAAGGTGTCAGATACTTCCAACAAGCTGAGTAATCGAACCGGGATATTCCAAGTTCACAAGGCACTTGGTCTTGACCAAGCGCAGAGGCACAAAGCGAACAAAGCAAGCAAAACATCTATCGTTCCAGACTTGGGAGGCCTTTTCGTCAAGCCCGCCGTGTGGGAGTTAAGCATTGATGAGCTGCAGCATGTCGAGGATTTGGTGATTGGTCGAGAGGGTGTTGGCCAGGTCACCTTTCCTGGACAGACGGACTGCCGTGGCCTCATCGAAAGCTTGTCACAGATTCTGTCAATCCTTCCTGGTGAAATTGTTCTCTACCCGGATGCAACTTTGAAGCCACCAATCGGAGAAGGCTTGAACAAGGCTGCCAGTGTGGTGCTCTTCGGCTGCATGCCCAAATGCCAAGCGCGGCTATTGGATGCTAAGGCCCAGCAGCGGTACAAACAAAGAGTTGCACAGATGACCGAGGAGAAAGGTGCAATTTTCGAGGATTATGACCCAAATGACGGAACCTGGAAGTTTCGCGTGCCCCACTTTTGACTTCGACCGTGCCATTCAAAAAGAAGCGATTGAAAGACCAAGAGTTCAGTCTGCTGAATTTAAAAGCATTTCCGTATTTTTCGCAGTCTCTTCAGTGCAAGACAAAATCAGGATCAGGACATCCGAGTCTTCCGCCCTTGGTTTGGAGAAGCAACACCGATTTTGATATACTTATATATTATATATTCTATATACAACATATGAGTTCCCACTGCAGCAGGTTGGTCATGAAGAAACATATCATGACAGTACAGCTGGCGAGGCCCATACAAGTTTGCCAGTAAGAAGGTGTTGCACACCTGACAACAATAAACAGCAATGTGCGATGAGTCGGGGTATCGAATTGAAGAGCTTCGACCACGAAGGACGACGCAGGCGTCTTCATGTGAGGTTCCCTTCAAAAACGCATGTGTTCTAACTCGAGAGCCATTTGATTCGTGCAGGTCAAGTAGCGTCGAACTGAGCGGGTCTGCAGAATGTGTGAGGCATGGGGCGTTGAGGCTTTAGAGTCCAGGACGCTACTAGGGTCTCCTGGCCTTACTAGTAACAAGAAGCTACTAGGGGCTCCTGGCATCGCTACTAGGAACAAGGACGCTACTAGGAACTCCTCGCATCGCTATATACTAGGAGCAAGGACTAATTGCGTCGTTGCTGAGCCAGGCAGAAGTTGGATCTTCTGCGCCGCCAGTCCTCTGAGGCTTTTGGGTCCATGGTTGCCATGGTTGAGCTGCTTTAAAAGCGCCCGTGAGTCTTGGGGGCAGAATACCATATGTTGGAAACATGACTTGCCAACCTGGCAATCAATATCAAACATTATGTGACTGCGAGTAGCTCGCCTGGTTAGACACACTCACTAGATATCGAGCAAAGAAATGTGCGCACGAAGATTGTACTTCATTGCAGCATTGCGGCAAAGCCATGAAACCACCCCTGTTTTTTCTCGGAGCTCCTTCAATTTCCCGTACGATGTCAGTCTTTGTTAGTACGTGTTAGTACCCCCTTGTCAGACTACTAGGATCTCCCAGAAAACTGGGACCTGACTGCAACGCAGTAAGACTTGATGAACCCGTCTAATGTTAGAGAGAGTGCATCACATGAAACAAAACATTCACCTACCTTTATACATATACCTGTAGTCCTGAACAAAACGTCTAAAGAAGCCTCAATAACGAGGACAGAGTGAACACATCAAACACATGAACCAAAAAACATTTGAAGGATAAGCAACCACTATGATACGCATAGGCCAGAAGCGAGTGATGCCACTATGACTTTGTGAGCCGCGAGTGTCTTTGTCTTCTTTTTGGTTGTTTCTTTAGTTTCTTTTGATGTCTACCTACTGTATTTTTGTTTTGCCCTTCTCTCCCGCCACTTCTTGTTGGCGGTGTGGATCTCATAGGCACGGCAGCCCTCCGAAGACGGACGGAGACTTGAGACGTAACTAGCTACTGCTGGTTCAAGATCAACCTGTGCCTACTCGGTGTGCGAATAGTTTGAGGTTTGAGAAGCATATGTTTCAATCCCCATTCATGCATCGTTTTGTGTGTTTATGATGCCTGGCCTGAGCCATTGCAGGGTTCCCTTGTCTTTGTAGACGATTCAGCAAGACACGCGAAGCACACAGTCTTTGGCTTCAGCCACGCCAGGAGGACAAGAGAAAGACACAGGGTGAAGGTGTGTGTGTGTGTGTCCTTGTGCAGGCCTGGCTATGTGTTTTGTCCAGGCTTGGTCTGTGTCCATGCCCCACCTTGCCCGGGCTGGTCCAGGTCTGTGTATCCTGCTTGTCTGCGTTGCTGGCCCTGCCATCATTGAGTAGGGCACGCCAGCCATAGATACAAGAAGCAAACACATTTTCCAGAGCAAAACAAGGCAAAGAAAAGCAACAGTAATGCAAACAAAAAGCAAAAGCATGTAGCTTTGCGTGTTTGTTGCGTTTTTGCACTTTTGTGTCCTTTCTTGTCGCTTTATTTTCACATTTTGTTCGCATTTGTTTTTCTTTTTCCCGAACGCGTAGCGAAGGGTTCCCGTTTATAGTTGGGGGTGTGGGGGTTGGACATGTGTTTGCATGGCCTGCGTCGTGTCGTCGTCTGTCGTCGTTTGTCGTCGTCTGTCGTCGTCTCTCGTCGTCTCTCGTCGTCGTCGCGTCTCAAATTTGCTGCCATTGGGGGAAGCTTTTGCAAGTGACTTTGCATGGACGTGTCAGGTGTCAGTGTGCGCCGCTATTCCATTGTGATTTGCATGACCAGGACGTGTCGCGCGAGAAACGTGAGGCGTTTCGCTGCACAGGCGCAGCGTTTTGTGAGATCGGCAGATTGCTGCGCAGTTCCATTGGGATTAGCGTTTGGAGAGCCGTGTTTTTGAGGTGTTGGCTGTGGCCGTGCCATTGGGATTTGCGTTACAGGGTGTGGCATCGAAGTGCTTTTTTCGTGACAAGTCTCAGCTGAAATGGCGATTTTGGTGGATGGGAGTGTGCTCAGAACGGGTCGAAATCATTCCAAACGTGTGGTGTGGTGCAAATTTTGTTGAAGCTCACATGAGATGATATTGTCACTTTTCGTGGCAGGCGCAGGACTTTGTGCGGGTTTGGAGGCGTGGAAGTGCGATTCTCGTGGCAGGCGCAGGGAATCGTGAGGTTGCGAGGTGTGACGGAGGTGACATGTCGTGGCAGGTGCAGGACTTTGTGCGCGTTAGACGCGTGGACGCGGAAAGATTCGTGGCAGGCGCAGGGAATCGTGAGTTTGTGAGTTGTGGTAGAGGGGAATGTCGCTGTCACATTGGGATTGGCGTGTGAGCGGATGTTGTTTGGAGGGGCTGGAGTCGCGAAACTGCTTGGCAGGACTGCGTGATGTGTGTGTGCTCCGATGGGTGTTTCCGCTTGACTTTTGGAGGAAGTCTCGTACGAAACGCTCGTTTTGCAGACTTTGACATGTGAGTTTGTGAGGAAGTCTCGACCGAAACGCTCGTTTTGGAGACTTGACGCGCAACCCTCTGCGGAGATCGTGCGTGTCGAGTGTGCCAAATGCAGGCGAGAGTGCGATTTGTCCCATGCGCGCGCAACCCTCTGCGAAGATCGTGCGTGTCGAGCGCGCGAAATGCAGGCGAGAGTGCGATTTGTCCCATGCGCGCGCAACCCTCTGCGGAGATCGTGCGTGTCGAGCGCGCGAAATGCAGGCGAGAGTGCGATTTGTCCGGTGCCCGCGCAACCCTCTGCGGAGATCGTGCGCGTCGAGCGCGCGAAATGCAGGCGAGCACTGGCGACTTTGTAGTACAACTTTAGTACGCGGGGTATCTAGGGAGCTGCAAGATGAGAACTGGTGACTTGGTAGATCTGTGGAGCTGGAAGCTGAGAACTGGCGACTGGCGACTTTGTAGTACAACTTTAGTAAGCGGAGCAATCTGTGGAGCTGGAAGCTGAGAACTGGCGACTTTGTAGTACAACTTGAGTACGCGGAGCAATCTGTGGAGCTGGAAGCTGAGAACTGGCGACCTTGTAGTACAACTGTAGTACGTGGAGTATCTGGGGAGCTGGAAGCTGAGAACTGGCGACCTTGTAGTACAACTTTAGTACGCGGAGTATTTGGGGAGCTGGAAGAGAGTCCCACAAGAGTGTCCCACAAGAGTGTCCCACAGAGTGTCCCACAAGAGTGTCCCACAAGAGTTTCCTACAAGAGTGACCCACAAGAGTGTCCTACAAGAGTGTCCCACAAGAGTGTCCCACAAGAGTGTCCCATAAGAGTGTCCCACAAGAGTGTCCCACAAGAGTGTCCCACAAGAGTTTCCTACAAGAGTGTCACACAACAGTGTCCCACAAGAGTGTCCCACAAGAGTGTCCTACAAGAGTGTCCTACAAGAGTGTCCCACAAGAGTGTCCCACAAGAGTGTCCCACAAGAGTGTCCAAGAGTGTCCTACAAGACTGTCCCACAAGAGTGTTCTACAAGAGTGCCCCACAAGAGTTTCCTACAAGAGTGACCCACAAGAGTGTCCCACAAGAGTGTCCTATAAGAGTGTCCCACAAGAGTGCCCCACAAGAGTGTCCCACAAGAGTTTCTTACAAGAGTGTCCTACAAGAGTGTCCCACAAGAGTGTCCCGCAACAGTGTCGCTCAAGAGTGTCTCACAAGAGTGTCCCTTAAGAGTGTCCGACAAGAGTATCCCACAAGAGTGTCCTACAAGAGTATCCCACAAGAGTGTCCCACAAGAGTGTCCTAGAAGAGTGTCCCACAAGAGTTTCCTACAAGAGTGTCCCACAAGAGTGTCCTGCAAGTGACCCAGAAGAGTGTCCCACAAGAGTGTCTCACAAGAGTGTCCCACAAGAGCGTCCTACAAGAGTGTCCCACAAGAGTGTCCTACAAGAGTGTCCCACAAGAGTGTTCCACAAGAGTGTCCTATAAGAGTGTCCCACAAGAGTGTCCCGCAAGAGTGTCCTACAAGAGTGTCCCACAGGAGTTTCCTACAAGAGTGACCCACAAGAGTGTCCTACAAGAGTGTCCTACAAGAGTGTCCCAGAAGAGTGTCCCACAAGAGTGTCCTACAAGAGTGTTCTGCAAGTGACCCACACAAGTGTAGAAGAGTGTCTCACAAGAGTGTCCCACAAGAGGGTCCTACAAGAGTGTCCCACAAGAGTGTCCTACAAGAGTGTCCCACAAGAGTGTTCCACCAGAGTGCCCTATAAGAGTGTCCCACAAGAGTGTCCTACAGGAGTGTCCCACAAGAGTTTCCTACAAGAGTGACCCACAAGAGTGTCCTACAAGAGTGTTCCAAAAGAGTGTCCCACAAGAGTGTCCTACAAGAGTGTCCCACAAGAGTGTCCTACAAGACTGTCCCACAACAGTGTCCTGCTAGAGCGTCCTACAAGAGTGTCGTATAAGAGTGTCCCACAAGAGTGTCCTGCAAGTGTCCCACAAGAGTGTTCTACAAGAGTGTCTCACAAGAGTGTCCCACAAGAGTGTCCTACAAGAGTGTCCCACAAGAGTGTCCTACAAGAGTGTCCCACAAGAGTGTCCCACAAGAGTGTCCTATAAGAGTGTCCCACAAGAGTGTCCTACGAGAGTGTCCCACAAGAGTTTCCTACAAGAGTGACCCACAAGAGTTTCCTACAAGAGTGACCCACAAGAGCGTGCTACAAGAGTGTCCTACAGAGTGTCCCGCAAGAGTGTCCTACAAGAGTGTCATTTGGACATATTAGTTTTTCGAACGTGTTTGCATTCGGGTTCGTGGGTTCCATCTTGTTTATTCCCCAGATAGCGAAGCTATGGGGTTCTTACTTCAAATTGCAATGAGTTGCCCGTGCGCGCTTTCGAGACAGGTTGCTGGTGCTGGTGCTGGGTGCCGGTGCTGGTGCTGGTGCTGTGAGCTGGCTGTGCACGTGGTGGGGACAGGTTGCTGGTGCTGGTGCTGGGTGCCGGTGCTGGTGCTGGTGCTGTGAGCTGGCTGCGCACGTGGTGGAGACAGGTTGCGTGCTGGTGCTGGGTGCTGGGCGCCGGTGCTGGTGCTGTGAGCTGGCTGTGCGCGTGGTGGAGACAGGTTGCCGGTGCTGGTGCTGGTGCCGGGCGCCGGTGGTGCTGGGTGCCAGGCGGGCGGTGGTGATGGGCGCCGGGCGCCGGTGCTGGTGCTGTGAGCTGGCTGTACGGGGTGGAGAAAGGTTGGTGGTGCTGATGCCGGCGCTGGGCGCCAGTGCTGGTGCCGGTGCTGTGAGCTGGCTGTGCACATGTATTGACACTCTTCAAGTCAATAGTGGCGCTGGATACTGCTTGGCCTTGGCCAATGACACTTACGGGCTTTGCTGTTTGCGCGCGTACTTGTGTGTGCATCAACTTATACGCGCAAGATCATACGTTGTTATTCCCCCAATAGGGATAGCTATGGCGTTCTTGCTGCAAATAAGAATGAGCTGGCTGCGCGCGCCTTTGAAAGGGTGTCGGTGCTGGTGCTGTGAGCTGGCTGAGCGCGCGTTTAAGACGGGCGGCGGCGCTGGTCGGGTGCTGGCGCCGCTGCCGGTGTTGTCAGCTGGCAAAGCGCGCCGGTGCTGGTGTCAGCTGGTTGTGCGCGCTGTGGAGGTGCCGTAAGCTGGCTGTGCAGGCTGCGTACATTCTTGTTCCAGCCAGTCGCGTGTCAACAGGTCGTGGGATTCTGCCTAGCTATCTGGGTCTATGCTGGTGTAATTTATGTTTTTTTCCTAGGAGCGTACGGCGAATATTGCTGACGGGTAAAAGTTCTCACAAGTGCAGAAGTTGCACTAGGCAAAAAGAACAAAAAAGAGGCTAAGCAAATGCAAACACAGTTCCTCTGCTGTTTTTCCGCTTTTGTCACACAAAATTGATAATTGGTCATGTATGGCTGCCATTGCTCAACGCAACCGCCTTGTCCCGTGCTTGGCGGTGCCCTTTTTTTCTTCACCGCTTTGCTCTATTTTTGTTTTTCCTCCTCCTTGTGTGGCTATAAAATGCTATAAAAAAGCAGTTGGAGGCTATAACTCTATAACAGACAGTTTCCCACCCACATTGGATTTCAAGGATTTGATTTGACGCAAGGAATCCTGCTGAAACGGTGTGGGGGCTGGCATAATTTTCTTCAAGCCTAGCCCTGCTCAGAGAACGGCCTCCGGTTTGCGAGGTTCACATCAAATGTCACACTAGCGTAGTAAGCGCGCATGGTTGCGCAGAAGCAGTGTCCTTGTGTATCGTACGTAGGCTCAGTTGCCGTTGCCATGCGCGACCCACATTCATTTGAATGTGCCACCCTATACACCTCCACCCTGCATAGCTTCCCTTGCTTTCTTGTAGGATGCGTCTAGCGCCCTGCCTATCCACAGCCTGGGGAGAGTGGACATTGGAGCACGTTTGCGGACCACAATTCCGGGAAACGAGGAGCGAAAATCGGGGAGTTGAGCTGTGCGAGTGTTGGCTCTTTTTCAGTCTGTGGACGGTCGACAATACTTTTGAGAACACCAGTGCCACCTACAAAGTTGTTACCATTTTTGCTGACTTCTCGAGGTGTAAACCTCAAGAGTTTGGTGGTACACGGTACACTTTGTAGGATGCAAGCTGCCGGGTGGAAGCTTGCGGACTCACACTCGATGAGGCAGCCAGGCGCATGGCGGAGGTGCCACCTGCAGTGTTTTTGCACTGGTTTGGTGCTTGTCGTTTCCGAGCCAGGATGGCCCAAATAAACTCACACCACCAGAGGTGGAAGCCTTATGGGTGAGATTTCTGAGGACTGACTGACTCCAGCGGTTTTTCGTTATTTTGAGTGCATGTGCATGTTTTCTTGCAGGACGGCATTTGGTGGACTATTGAACATACTTCTATGGATTTGTGTGTTTGCTGAGGCGGGTTCCTTTTCGCGGGGTGTGGCAAGCACGTCCGGGGTTATATATATACCTAGAACCTGAATGACCTCTATTTTGGATCACCAACTGCCCAAAATAAGGTCTTTTCCTATCAAAACAGAGGTCAAATGGGCTCTAGGTATATAATATATAACTATAATACGTAAGTTTCAATGCAGATCAGTCTAGATGTATAGCATTTCTAGCATCACAGAATGCATGCGCAGCCCCTTTGTGTCAAGTAAAAAGTTCGCACGGTAGCGGAGCAAGGATAAGGGTAACCCCCCTTTGAGCTCCAAGGTTGTCCTTTGAGCCCTTACCTGTTCTTGCTAGTCATGACGTGCGTTGATGAAGATGTAAGATCTTGCTGTTCTGGTCACATAGCTGCTTCCCGGATTCCAGGGGTTCAATTTGACGCCGTCTATTGCGCAGATGACACAACCTTGTTCTCAACGGCGCCCAGAGGTCTCAATGAACTCCTTAAACACATGGAAATCTGTTCTAGTCACTATGGTTTTCGAATCAACAGAGCCAAGTGCCACGCTATCATTATGAACCGTGTTGCTAACATACGCTTTCATGATGGCAGCCGCCTGGACATAGCACAGCAGGCTACCTATCTAGGAAATAATCTCAATCACACTGTAGACCTCAGGAAAGAAGTCTCACAGCGCATCCGAGAGACGAAGCGCACATGGAACAGACCCTCCCTGTTTTGGAAGAAACCCACTACCAATAATACCTTTTGACTTTTTATTTATGATGCAGTGATCATAAGCAAATTGTTGTATAGCCTTGAAGCAATAGATTTGAGCCAATCGCTACGAAAAACAAAGTGGATGCCTTCCATTTGCGGGCGCTACGAAGAATTGAAAAATTGCCCACTACATGTATAGACAGGCGCAACACAAATACGAGGGTCTATGAACTTGCCTCTGAAGTTGCTTTTCCAAGCCACCAACAAAATTAGACCTCTTTTCTCAAGAGCTAGATGGGAGGCGAGTAAAGTTGGCCGGGCATATTTTAAGAGCGCAGGGCTCAGATCCTCTAAGACAGGTCTCATACCAAGCAGGCAGTGGGGACCCCATCCAGATCGGTAAACGTCGAGCTGGCCGGCCTAGACAACAATGGCTGTACAGGACTAATGAAACCATTCACAGCATTATTAGCCGCACAGCTTATGATGGTGACCCGGTTCAAAAAGGGCCAATTTTACAGGCAGCGCAGCAACGTATCGTATGAGTCCAAACATTTTTCGGGTTGCTCTATAGTAACGGGATGCATGGTTGAAGAAAAATAAGCTATTAGCTACCTGGCTAACCTACCTCACCTCTACTAGCAGCCTACTCCCCCAAAAAGAAGAATGGAGGGTATTTTGCAATTAGGTTGGGCCATTACAATTAGGTTGGATTAACGGCGCAGAGTGGCGAGCCTTGGGACCAGTTTTTGATTGCGTCTTTCAGCCTGGAACCGGACGCTGCGGCCCTCGAACCAGTTGCTGTTCTTTCAATCGATTATGTCAGATTATGCGTACATAGGAGCATACATACACAGGGGCCAGGGCTTGCGCTATGTCATAAGGTTGTTGTGAGAGCGTGGGGGTGACTTAGGTGGCAGTTTAACCGAAAGTGCAAAGCAGCCGTGTTCAAAGTTGCCCTGGGCAAAAAACATGGCAAAGCAGTGCCATAGACGAAATGGTTTGTTTGGGATGTGGCTTTTCACAGGCAAGCCTCACCTTCTCAGGGTCTCCCCGACAGTGTGGTCTTAGATCACGCTGCTCTCAAACACCAATCTGTGAGAACAACCGGTTCTGACAAAACAGCGCTCAGCAGAATCGTGCAACTCTCTGGCTTCGTCATGAGGTTGACGGGTAGATTGTTTTGTACGTCCTCTTTGGCTTTGGGAAAACCTTGTTTAGGGTCCCTCAGGCCTTCAGCTACAATTCTGTTTGACCCGGACTTGGAGCGTTCACGATTCGGGCGCGCAGGCGCTGTTTGCTTATAGTTTAGCAAGTTTAAAGTGGTTGTTCCAAACTATTCGTTGCGTGAAGGGCACGGCAAAGTTGTTCTTGTTTGTTATCAGGGGAGGTTTCGCTTGTGTGGAAACTGGATTCAGGTGTGGATAGAGTATGGAGGTGCCACATGACATTGGGTTGGTTAGTGAAACAGCTTGGTTGGAGATTCTAGTGTGTTGAACCTACAGCAGTGTTTTGTAACATGCTTGAGGCTGCAAGAGCTTTCCATGTCTCATGATTGAAATGCTTGTGATCCAGGTGATCTTACTGCTCGTCTATCCGGGCCAAAAAGACCTGGTGACGCCTGCAATTTTATCAGCCGTGATATTAATCACCGCCCTGTTGCAATTGTATACAGAGGTGAAGGCACTTTCGTCTATGGAAGCATTGCGGGACCTGCAAGTTGGAGAAGCGGTTCAAGTTGTGCGGATGGACGCTGCACAGCGATGTGATTTATCTGTGTCGGCAGAGGACCTGGTCAAAGGCGATGTTATTTTCTTGGACGCCGGGCAGCGAGTCCCAGCAGATGTGCGCATCATACATTGCAGCAGCTTGGAGGTTGATAATTCAACGCTCACTGGGGAGACGATGCCGGAATTGCGATCTTCTGCAGCCGAGCCAGCCAACATGCTCAGCACAGAGGCTGGGTCAAGGGAGAAAAGACAGAACCGTGGAATGCTGTGGGCATGTGCAAGAAGTCCGCATGGCGCCAAGGAGAGGTAGAATCATACCAGGAAGGGAGTCAAAGCTAGACAGAAGGGAACGCAGACACTTGAAACTTGATAACAGGGAAAAGTACAGTAGCAGTTAACGGTGTTGTTGATGGCGACCATGATGATGAGTATGATAATGATGATTATGAGCACAATGGTGCTAATGCCAAGACATATAAAGTGTAGATGTGATAATCTCAAGATATACCTGGGACACTCATGTCAACACTCTTGCAGGAACACTTTTGTACGACAATGTTAGGACACACTCGTGGGACCCTCTTGTAATGGCACACTTCGTGTACATGGCATGGGTGTGATCGTGACACAAATCGAGAAGTGTCACCGAACACCCTTTCAAAGCGTGGACCAAAAGGCCGCTCAAATGGTAGTGGAGCCGTGAAGGACATTTCATTCGCTCCAGGTGGGCCTTTCAAGGAGCCAGGACACAAAGCGTCAATAGCGTGATTGGTGATGGAGCTTGAAGCAATTGTGGGTGGTTGACAGCAAGTTCCCAGAATTTCAAAGGTTGGAGAGACGAGTGTAGATGACGTTCATTGGGAACTCTTTACGGTAGATGAGAAGGAGACTGGTTGGGCTTATCAAGAATGTTTCAGACTTCAACGGCTTTAAGGCCCGGAGCCGCACCATGAAATTGCTCCAACGGTTTATGGCATATCCCAGTTTCAACATGAAACTGTCAATGCTTCTCCAATGGCTGAAGCCCGAAGAGCACTTTGGGGAAAGCTGCCACAGGATATGCTCAACGAAGGCAGCTTGTATAACAAAATTAGAGAGGCAGCTTTGGCTTTTGACACTGCCGATGCTACTGTAAGTGGAATGACTCAGCTGCATTGAGCCTTTTCGAGCAAGCCCGAGTACCGCTGCAGGGCCCCAATGGAGGTTGACAGAGTTCAGAAAGGAGACAAAGGAAAGGGCAGAGGACAGACGAAAGATGGCAAAGGAGGTAAGGAAAGAGCAAAGGAGGCGAGCAGACTACAGGAAGCAAGAACGATGGCAAGGGCAAGAGCAGGAAAGAGGAAAGGGCAGGAATTTGACTGGGGTGTGCTGGACATGTGGCTGCCCAGGCCATCAGGCCATGCTGGAGAGTGAGACGCGTCGAGGCCCCAGCTTCAGTGGTGCCACCCAGCCATGCAACGGTATCGCCCAGCACCACGATGCAGACCACGGTGAAGGCGGTGAGACGAGTTTCACAGCCACTTGTCTTTGATTTGAGACAGGTGGAGGAGGCAGATGGTGGAGGAAGAAAAGGATGACCGAGCTCTACAGCATCACCACGGATGATGAGGAGGACGATGGTACAGTGCACGAGGTGTTTCGAGAAGTAGAGGAGGATGAGAAAGAAAAGGAGCAAGTAGAGGAGAAAGTTGCAGTGAGCAGCAGATGCCTCACTTTTTCCCAGGCACCATGCTCAAGACAGGACGTGGATGTGGACACCGAGCTCACAGAGCACGAGAGAAGCGTGATCCTCAGAGAAAGGGTGGCCTTCAGTGGTGCTGTGGCTCAGCCTTTTTTGTCATTTAAACGATCTGGTTGGTCCACCAGTGCCAGCCCAAACCTACAGTAGTCTATGGGGATGTTCGTGGGCCACTGGGCTTTCAAAACCAGAGCCTAGTCTAGTAACAGTAGTGAAGGGAGAAACCCGTACTATTGCTGCAGCAGGTGTGTGGGGACACTGAAGGTGAGGTTGAACGAGAGAATTCAGAAGGTAGCCGAGGAGCAGGTCGGAATGGAAGAAGTTTGGAGAACAGTGGATTGGTTTGCATCGCAGCCGGAACTTCCAGAGTCCCCAATTCATCCCAGGTATGAGGGCAGCTCCGAGTAAGACACTTGTAAGACACTCTCGCTTGACATTTGTGAGACAGTTGTAACACACTGCAGGTCACTCTTGTTGAACAGTCTTGAAAGACATTCTTGTTGGACACTCTCCGCCGTAGGACATTCTTCTGGGAAACCGTCACTCATTCCGCTCACCAGCGGCATGCCGGGTTTCCACACGCATGCTTCCTGTTCCCCAATGGCACAGAGCCACGAAAAATCGCGCTTTCCACAGGCCACGCAAACCGTGTGGCGCAGCGACATCGCAGGCGTAATTTTGCCACACTGTGTGCCACACTTACGTGCAACAATGTAACACCAAGCCTTTGTTGACCGTGCAAAACATCCCGCTCACTAGCAGCGCAACGCGTTGTTTGTGCACGCGTGACTCCGGTTCTCCAAAGGCACGGAGAAAGACGCAGTTTCCGCCGAGGCCGCGCAAAAGCCGCATGTCACAGCGGCATCCCAGACGTAATTTCGCCACTTGACGCCGCCAACCACCCTGCTCGCCAGCAGCGCGCGGCGTCGCGCACGCACGTTTCCCATTCCCTGATGGCGCTGGCCCACACAAACCGCGTGGGACAGGAACGTTGCAGACATACTTTCTACAACGCTACTTCCCGTACTACACTTGTACTACAGTGTCGCCACAGTTCTGAGCCTGAATTCTAGTTGAGAGGTCTGTAAGTGTTGTGGACCTTGCCAAAAGTGCGCAACCGTCGTCAAAAAATCAAGGTGTGTAGCTGTCGTCGAATAAGATGAAAATCGAAGTTGACAAAGTGTCTACCTAATTCTCGGCGAAAATCAAGGTGGCGGAAGTCACTGAAATACGTAACGGTCGCTGACCCTGGTATCAGACCTGGCAACTTGTAGTGCAAATGTACACTCAGCACCCGAGTGGGACGGCTGAGCGAAACACACTCTGACAATTGTATTCAGTTAACTCAGTTCCCCAAGGAAAGGAATGGCTCAACGGCAGAGTCCGATCAATTGTAGATGTTTGAACAAGTGGTTTGCGCGCATCTGCAGACTCGCGACAGCAGCGGACGAGCGGCGGACGGCAGCTGAAAGGCGGCTGTGGGAGAAGCTGTTTGCGGGGAAGGTATCGTGCGAAACCACCATGGAAAAAAACAAAGAAAGAGTGGAGTCACAGCTTGAAATCGTCGCTCTGTCCCCCTGCGGGTGAAACTGTGGTTAAAAAGTGGTGGGTGAAGTGGCGGTAGTAAACCCTTGGCCCAGGGGTTGACACACACACAGACAGAGACTCATACACACACAGACATAGATACAAACACACAGAGACCCACACACTGCCTCAACTCACTCGACTTGGCACTTCACACTGCACACTTAACAGATAACTCACACTCTGACTTCCTACGTGATGAAAAATGCTTTTGGGCCACTCGTCGTCTAGCTTGTTTTTAGTGTTGTATCCGCGCCGCACTCCTCCTCCTCCTCCCACCTCCCGCTTACCACCAACCAACTGCCACCAACCAACTGCCACCCACCAATTGTCACCAACCAAGTGCCACCAGCCAATTGCCACCCACCAATTGCCACCAACTAATTGCCACCAACCAATTGTCACAACCAATTGCTACCAACCAGACTTCCACCAACCAATTGCCGCCAACGAGTTGCCACCAACCAATTGTCATCAACCAATTGTCATCAACCAATTGCCACCTACCAATTGTCACCAACCAATTGCCACCCACCAATTAATTGCTACCAACCAATTGTCACCAACCAATTGCCACCGACCAATTGTCACCAGCCAATTGCTACCAACCAGTTGTCACCAACCAATTGCCACCCACCAATTGCTACCAACCACTTGCCACCAACCAATCGTCACCAACCAATTGCTACGAGGTACCAACCAATTGTCACCAACCAATTGTCATCAACCAATTGTCATCAACCAATTGCCACCCACCAATTGCCACCAACCAATTGCCACCCACCAATTGCCGCCCGCCAATTGCTAATAACCAATCTCTCCAGGGGGTCGGATGCACGCCCTGGTGTCGCCCTGGCGTCGCTGCGCCGCTGTGATTTGCGCGGCAGGTGCAGCACTTTGGTGTTCTCCAGCGGGTCGGATGTACGCCCTGGCGTGGCCCTGGTCGCCCTGGCGTTGCTGGGTCTCCGCCGCTGCGCCGCTGTGATTTGCGTGGCAGGCGCAGCGCGTTGGTGTTCTCCATGGGGTCGGATGTACGCCCTAGCGCCGCCCTGGATGTACGCCGTGGCATCTGTGGGTCGCCGCGGCTGGCCATCAACCAACTGCCACCAACCATTGCCACCCACCAAGTGCCACCAACAAATTGTCACCAACCAATTGCCACCAACCAATTGTCACCAACCAATTGCCACCAACCAATTGTCACCAACCAATTGCCACCAACCAACTGCCACCAAACGGTTGCTACCAACCAATTGTCACCAACCAACTACCACCAACAAATTGCCACCAACCTATTGCCACCAACCAGTTGTCCCCAGCCAAATTGCCACCAACCGATTGTCACCAAGCAATTGCCACCAACCAATTGCCACCAATCAATTGCCACCAACCAAATGTCACCAACCAACTGCCACCAACTAATTGTCCGCTGCTGTGTTTGTTGAAGTTGCTACAGTTAACATGTGGAGTTATCCGGCCCTATAATTTTGCACTCTTGTTTCTGCGCATACGATGCGCTCAGCTGAACATCTGCCGAAGATCTGGCGACCTTGGCTTGGGGCAGGCCTCACGTAGTTTCTTTGCGAGGCCCGCGCGCCCTTCCTCAACGCGGCCTTTGACCAAGCATCGGGCTCATTCTGCCAGTTGTCCCTGGCGGATCACGACATGGGAGGAGTTTCCCACATCCCAGGATCAAGCGGGCCGCTTTGGCAAAGACCGCCCGCAAACTCATTGAAGGAGGCTTCATTTGCCCTGGCCAAGATGTGGGCCTTGCAGCGGCTGCACTTCAGATAGTCTCCATCAAGCCGAAGGAGATGAGTGCCCACCGGCGGGGTGCCTTGCTGCTGGATGAGGTCATTGATACCCTCCATCCTGGGCCTTCTGGTGGATCTCTGAGAAGGTGCCAGGCGGCATGCGCATTCTCTTTGAGCTCCGCAAGCAAGGACTTGATGTGGATCTTGGCCTTGCGTTGTGAGCATTGTGCCATTTGATCTCTTCTTTGAACTTGTGCTCCAGGAGAGGCCAAGGGTCTTCCAAAGCCAGTTCACAATCAGATATGCTAGCATAGCCGCATAGCCCTTCCTCTTCCATCTCTGGCCATTCAGGTTCTCCAGGGACCATAGCCGGTGTCAAGTCTGCGATCTAGCTGAGAAAGCCCAGTGTCAGCCGGCCCATCGTTGCAAACCCCATTCAAAATTGTCTTACTCCCTCAAAGCGCACATCACACTCATCTGCGGAGAGGTTACCCACAAGACGTGTTGTATTCCGGCGAGTGTAGCTTCTGGAAGGGCTCACAGCTGGCAACGACTGTTACATGGGAAGCAGCTTCTGGGCCCTCTGGGGGGGGCCCTAGCCTTGGGCGACCCCCACCTTGATCTAGTCTTAGAATTCTCGCCGCCAGTTACACACTTTGGAAACTTCCACCTGGGTCTGATTTTTGACGGCAGTCGTGACTTTTGCAACTTCACAATTCAATTTCGACGAGGGTTATGCCCTTTTGCAACACTTCCGCCTTGATTTTCACGACATTTACACATGCGCGGGGGTTCGCCGAAAAGGGATTGACGTGAGCGAGAACTCGCAGAATGGCCCCTCGCGTTTGAAATCACCTCACGTTTGAGCGCTCAACGCACACACACACACACACGACCCCCGCAACGGGTCACTCAAGGCAGAGGACGGTTCGCATATTTTCGCGCATCCGACGTGTGCGACGTCGCAGTGGGTATCGGCGCTGCCTCGAGAGAAGATGTCGAAGTTGCAGTTGCCTAGTAACTGGGTTTTGTAAGTGTCCTCACTTATGTCTCAGCACTTGTTTCCAAACGCGGGAACCGAAACACCTGTATCCATGTATGTGTGTTATAGCGGCTGGACCCCAACACCTTTTTCCCAACGCCGCATCTCTTCACCTGTATGGTGATAATTAGACATGATGATGATGATGGTGATGATGCTGATGCTGATGATGTAGGTGTGTTGTATCAGTCTCTACACTTGTACGATGATGGTATTGAATGATGATGCTCATGATGCTGATGCTCAGGTTGGTACTGACAATGATGATGATGGTGAAGACTATTCTACTGATTCTTTTGTTGGTGCAGGCGCTGAGGCTGCTGCTGAGAACGACCATGCTGAGAACGATGATGCTGATTGACCGTGCTGATGACGAAGAAGGTGATACTGACGATGATGTTGGTTGTTGGACAGTTGATTTTGGCAGCCGTTCTTTACGGAGAACCCTTGGACGGACAACAGCAACAAGACGAGACGAGCTAGTGTTCAAGATAGTCTGCCCGATTTGATTTTGGCCCAGGCGCGGTGTCTCGCGTTCTCGGGTACTTCAATTCTAAAGGGATCAGCAACCTGTGTGGTGTATGCCACTGGAGATCGTACATTCCTAGGCGCGACGGAGCTGTGCTTTGCTTCTTTCTGGCGCCCTTTCGGCCCTAATCAGCTACCAATTATATAATGTGTCTCAGGGCAAATTGCCAGCACGATGAAAAGCCGTCCACCCAAATCATCTCTAGAAATCCAGATTGAACACTTTGCTCCAGTCTTAATCTGTCTGTCGGTTCCGCGATTCTTGTTTGAAATTAATCCGGGGCTTGAGACTAATGTTTCGGTTTTGACGGCGGCTGAGGTTCACACAATTGCCCGAGTAGCTCTGGGAGTTACAGGGTTGGTTCTTCTAAGCGACTTGCCGCGTTCCCAGAAGATGACTATAGAAGTTTCTTTATCCGGTAGTTTTGTTCCCCAGATAGCGAAGCTATGGGGTTCTTACTTCAAATAACAATGAGTTGCCCGCGCGCTTTCGAGACAGGTTGCTGGTGCTGGGCGCCGGCGCCGGCGCTGGGGCTGTGAGCTGGCTGTGCGCGTGGTGGAGACAGGTTGCTGGCGCCGGTGCTGGTGCTGGTGCCGGATGCCGGTGCTGGTGCTGTGAGCTGGCCGTGCACGCTGGTGCTGTGGGCTGGCTGTGCACGTGGTGGAGACAGGTTGCTGGCGCCGGTGCTGGTGCTGGGTGCTGGGATCGTGCGTGTCCAGGCCGCGAAATGCAGGTGAGATTCGGTATTGGATCTGTCCATGCTGCGCAACCCTCTGCGGAGATCGTGCATGTCGAGGGCGCAAAATGCAGGTGAGATTGCGTGTTGGATTTGGCGCGCGCAACCCTCTGCGGAGATCGTGCGTGTCGAGGGTGCGAAATGCAGGTGAGATTGCGTTTTATTGTATGCTTGGAAGGTTGCGCGCGCGCCAATGGCTTATATATATATATATATTCATAGTTTTTGCGGCGCAGAATGCGGGTAAGGCTTTTCAGTTTTTGAGAAGTCTTGTGGAAAATACTCGGTTGTCGAGGTTTCATTCTCACTTTTTGCGAATGTCTCATGCAAAACGCTCGTTTTGGAAGCCTCGGTACCAAGCTTTTCTTTTTTTCACTACTGTATTTTGTGGAAACTGTTCATACAACATTGTGATCGTATACCTCTTTGACGGCATGTCAGCTTGAGAGAATGTTGGATGTCATTTACAAAAGCATTGCGGTACCGAGCTTTTGTATGAATATATATATATATATATGGATCTTTTCATATGAAATGGTCTTAGCATTTGCCTTTGGTACGGAGCTTCTTTTGCAGACTTACATGGTAATTTTTCTTTTTTTACGGCATGTTGGTACCGAGCTTTTTTGAGCAAGCTCTGGCGACGATGTTTGGCTTGAGAGAGTGTTAGATGTTATTTACAAAAACCTCGTGGCGCTGAGCTTTTAGCTTTATATGTATGGAGATTTTCACATAAAATTGCATGGTCTCTGCCTTTGAAGGCATTTTGGTACCAATGCATCAGGCACCAAAAATCGATTTCATGTCACATCCTTCGCTCCTCATGCTTCTATTTCTTGTCCTCACGTGGTCAGCTCCTTGCTGATTGAGCAGCATGACCATCATCATGTTCGCACTTGAAGAATAATTCCCCAAAAGGTTTACTGTCAGGGCTTCTCAATTCTTTCTTAAGATGTGTCCGCCCGCTCTGTTCTGCTGTGTCCGTCTCTGCCTTGCAATCCTTTACGTTCGTCTCCCAGCTCTGGGCTGCTGTGGCCGCCTCTGCCTTGCAATCCTTTGTCTCCCAGCTCTGGACGTCGCAAGCTCTAGTTTCGATTTTGAAAAACACAAACTGTTTGGGGTCTACGGTGGTGTAATTACCTGTAACAGTGTGTAAACAACTATCAATTATCACTATTTTAGAGAGTGGCCTTTTCCAGCTTACAAACCATCATCATCATCATCATCATCATCCACAGAAGGTGCCCTTACCACCCTATCTTCTGTTTCCGTTTACTTTGGTGGGCCAAGCAGTTGCGTTGGTGTGGGCTGAACTGTCCTTGCTCTACTCGTATTACCTTTGCGCAATTGTACTTAGATTTCTCAGTCGCAACAGAATCAATTGCTCCAGTCAACATGGCCCCCGGAAAAGCTCGCTCTTGGAAAGGGTTCTCTTTAGATTACAAGATGTTTCCAAAGAAGCTCCTCAGACCTTGGCGGCACAGTCAAAAATTTTCATTCTCTGTCTCAAGTGGCTACATGCCCAAGGCGTGTATCCTTTTGGCCATGACCGGGAAAAGATGGATCGCGCAGATGAGCTTAACTGGATTGGCGTCAGAGGCTGGTTTCCTGCCCTTAAGGGGAGACCGAAACTGGCTTCTGGCTTCGGTTCAGCTTTAGCCCTTGATGCCTACCTCAAACAGGCTTCACCGCCTTCCCGCCATTTCAACCTACATTGGCGTGTTTCTGGTGTGCCCGTGCCACAACACCCCGACTCTTTGAATTTGTCTTTCGATCAGATCGTGCGTTGCATTTTGGACCAGCAGCAATGAAGTTTACTTCGTGCATTTGAGCATTGTCTTCTCATGGAAGAATTGGTCCGTTTGCTTGCCGGCCTTGCATTGCCCGGCATTCGTTTTCCAATTTGTAGTTACGAAAGCCAGCCTTCGTAGAAGGCGCCAGCTGAGTTGTGCTTGGCGAACGAAGTGAGTAGGTAGGGGGTGGGGGGGGGGTGGCCCCAGAAAGGTACACGTAAACTCGGCGCATGCTGGGGGAGGAGGGTGCACGGATGGAAGGTTTTGGAGGTTGTTTTGGGGGTGTTTGGTGATTTTGGAGCGGGTGGTGACGCAAGAAATGCTTTTTTGTTTTTGCATCATCTGAATGTGGATGGTTTTTCAAGGGTTATCTAGCGGCTTGGGGGGAGGGGGGTTGAAGTGCTTTTCCATGCAACTGAATTGTAGTTACCTTGGGTCCGTATAAATGCTATGGTGCCACGCTTCCGACACACCTATATAAGTTCAAAGCACTAATGAGACTGGAGAGGGAAGTTGAAGTGCAACATCATTGGATCATTGGATATTCGATCGCAATCCCGCTATCCTTTTGCTGGGCAAGAGATTGCGACTCCCTGAAAGAATCATGATGACTGTACATGGACAAGAGGCCCCTCCTAAAAAGACCCATTTCCGCTACAACAAGGTCGATGTTTGGATGGAGTTTCAGTGTTTTTCCTATTTGCATGGACCGTTTTCCGCTGCCCTGGGTCCGCGCGCGTGCGCGCGCCCTCCTCTACGGTAGAGTGGGCGCCAACAAGGCACGCGCGCGCGCGCGCGCGCGGACCCAGGGTGTTACTGCAAGGAGGCGCCGCCCCGACAAAGTTGACAAAATCGCTGTTCCTGACGCCCCTCGTTCCAAGGTGCCGCTCGTGACAAAATTACGCTGGCTTTCGTTTTGCAGCTTCTCAGGTTAGTTCCCATTTGGCTGTTGGTACGTGAACACTGACCAACTGTCTGGAAGTGAAGACCACTCCACTCCACTTCGTTAAGATGCAAAGCGGTACAAAATCCACAGTTACTGGTAATGGGATAGGCCCTAAATTATAGGACCGGATAACCCCACATGTGAACAACTTCGAAAGATTGAGGCTGCAGGGGTAAAGCGCGGAAGAGTGAGCGTGGGGAAGAGACAGGCGAAACAGATATAAGGCGTGAGGGTTGTACGTGAGGTGTGTGTGTGTGTTTGTGTGTATGCGCTTGTTCGTCAGTGTGTATCAGTGGGTGGGTGGATGTATGCTGCTTGGGGCTTGTACTAAAGTTGTACTAGAAAGTTGCCAGTTCTCATCTTCCAGCTCCCCAGATACTCCGCGTACTAAAGTTGTACTACAAAGTCGCCAGTTCTCAGCTTCCAGCTCCAAAGATTGCTCCGCGTACTAAGGTTGTACTACAAAGTCGCCAGTTCTCATCTTTCAGCTTCGCAGATACTCCGCGTACTAAAGTTGTACTACAAAGTCGCCAGTTCTCAGCTTCCAGCTCCGCAGATACTCCGCGCACTAAAGTTGTACTACAAAGTCGCCAGTTCTCAGCTTTCAGCTCCACAGATTGCTCCGCGGACTGTACTACAAAGTCGCCAGTTCTCAGCTTCCAGCTCCCCAGATTGCTCCGCGTACTAAAGTTGTACTACAACGTCGCCAGTTCTCAGCTTCCAGCTCCGCAGATACTCCGCGCACTAAAGTTGTACTACAAAGTCGCCAGTTCTCAGCTTCCAGCTCCACAGATACTCCGCGCACTAAAGTTGTACCACAAAGTCGCCAGTTCTCAGCTTCCAGCTCCCCAGATTGCTCCGCGTACTAAGGTTGTACTACAAAGTCGCCAGTTCTCAGCTTCCAGCTCCCCAGATTGCTCCGCGGACTGTACTACAAAGTCGCCAGTTCTCATCTTCCAGCTCCCCAGATACTCCGCGTACTGAAGTTGTACCACAAAGTCGCCAGTTCTCAGCTTCCAGCTCCCCAGATACTCCGCGTACTAAAGTTGTACTACAAAGTCGCCAGTTCTCAGCTTCCAGCTCCCCAGATTGCACCGCGTACTAAAGTTGTACTACAAAGTCGCCAGTCCTCAGCTTCCAGCTCCACAGATTGCTCTGCTTACTAAAGTTGTACTACAAAGTCACCAGTTCTCATCTTCCCACTCCCCAGCTACTCCGCATACTAAAGTTGTACTACCAAGTCGCCAGTCCTCAGCTTCCAGCTCGCCAGATACTCCGCGTACTAAAGTTGTACTACAAAGTCGCCAGTTCTCATCTTCCAGCTCCCCAGATACTCCGCGTACTAAAGTTGCACTACAAAGTCGCCAGTTCTCA